AGCTGGTGAGTTGGAACCACTGACATTGTGGTTCAAACCAACCTTGCAGTCAAACACATAATCTTACGGCACCACACCAGGATTCCTATCTTCTGGTAGCTCTGGAGTAATTCTCTAAGATTTATAGCATGCTTCTAAAACAGATGGCCTGCATGAATCTGGTTTCAGCATATGAAGGCTCTGATCAAGGAAAAGAGAAAAATTTCAACTAAGCAGTTGAAATTACTATAGTTGCTAGGGAATTCTGTGCTTAAAAATTGGAATAAATTGCATTCCAAGGTTACTACCACCTAGGCAACTGGAGAGTCATTTCTCCATGACAAATGAATCTTAGTTGTTGGCACGTTCTCAATTTTCTTTTCTAATTGCTAGAATTGCAGGCTTTATACATAGCTGATGAGATACGAGTATTCACTTACAATGCTGCATGCCGAAGCTACCCAAATAATTGTGAAGAAGTGAGAAAGTCTCTGTATTAAATCAATCACTCTAAGCCTGATTACAGTTTAGTAATCTCATTTTACCTGTCAAGAAGCAAAAATACACACATCAAGTTTATTAGTCTTTCTGTTGACAAAATTAATTGCTCATATGCAGAAAGAACATTCTGAACACTCATCTCTATGAATGTGCTCAACAGTTTGTTTTGTTGGCCTTTGAACATGCTCATCACTGGGGGAAAGTGGATGTGGGGGGAACATAATACCTGCTATGACATTTGGCATGTCTTGAAAACTAGCATAAACTCATTACAATCCATGATACCACATATGGTAGAGAACCAAGCATTCTTGATTCTTGATTCTAGAGAATCAAGCATCATGTGAGAACCAAGGCTGGTTGTAGGCAAGTGTTTATCTACAGGATTACCATGGCACTGTTTGATCTAAGCTATTCAAAAGATTTAGAAAGAGGGAGGAGCCCTGAATGAGAACCTAAATATACCCTAATCCAAAAGTGTTGCTAAGGCTGGGAAATAAAAAACCCATCCTATAAATAGATTAAGGAACTCTGGACCTCAAGGTCAGCAGTTCAAAACTACCAGCTGTTCCACGGGAGAAAGATGAGGCTTCCTGCTTCTGTAAAGTTTTACAGCCTAAGAAACCCTGTACAGGGTCACTATGAGTTGGAACTGACTCCACCGCACATAACCACCCAACCATAAATAAATGATACCAGATTGTATTCAAGTATATTTCAGTGCATATCAGAAGAATTTGAAGGCATGTCATGCGCCAGAGTGTGCCCAGTAGAAACCAGAGCATACCACTTTATTTATT